GGAAGCCCCTTCCTCTGGGCCAGGAGCAGCTGGAGGGATGGTGGCCCAGAAGCCCCTTCCTCTGGGCTGGGAGCAGTGGGAGGGATGGTCACCTGGAAGCTCCTTCCTCTGGACTTGTGTTCTTTTTAGATTAGAATACTTTTTGTTAGTTTTCAGACACATGTAGTGAACCTAGACACAATCAGCATGGTCTTCAAGAAAAGAAATGTGATCATGATGTCATAGTGAGAGGCAGGGAATCTTAGGGGAAGAGTGTCAAGAAATGGCCTTTGTTTCTGTATTATTCTCAGAGATGCAACTTTTCAAATTTAACTTTATAGTCATTAAAAAAGGAGTCTGGCATTTTACCTTCATAAGTAGAACTATGCAATGTTCTAAGTCAAGAAATTTCAAAACTGGGTCAAAGCCTCATATTTACAACAAAACTTCCAAAGTGAGTATGTTCTATTTTGCTTTACTTAGAAATATTAATGCATAGTGAACACCAAGAAAAGGTGCATAGAAGTGCATTTTTCAATAACTAAACATCATTTATTTACTCCCAATGTCTCCTTATGATTTCTTTTACAGATATCATTTGACATACTAGTGTTTTCAAGATAGCAGCTGCCTCTCTATTGCCTCTTTCTTTAGATTCACTTCTCTCAGATTTTCTACTCATCAATATTCCCATTTTTCATATCAGAATCTTCTTACCTTGGACATATGAACCCAAAACAGATTTCATAAACAATTATCTTCTTAAAGAAATATCATGCTATCTGATTGACACATTCTCCATGCCTTATCTCACAGTCAAAGTAGAAACAATGACACTTAGACAAAAGTAACTTTCCTCTTTATATCTGATTCTGGTGGTCATAAGTGGATACTAACAAGTATGATGTAATATAGGTAAACTCAAATTTGTAAGAGGGATTATTCGTTGTCACTCTCAACAAATTTCCATTTCTGAGTAAGAAGTAATGAAATAAGGTTTTTCAGATGTGAAAACACATATATAAGCTTCCTGGTGTTAAAATATTGTGACTGAGGCAAGATTGATTAAGTACGGTTTCTTATTCAGCAATTGTTCCAGAATTCATGAAGAGACATGGGTTAAATGATGGAAGAAGGTACAATTCCCATGGGTAGCTCTATCTTCAGTATCCTTAGATATAGTGAAGATGGAATAGAGCTTTAGAGTTATTAAAAAAAATGACAAAATAAATCTCCAAGAAAGTTATCAGACCCTAGCATTATTCAGAGAAGTTATTGAACCTAGAGTGCAGTACAAATGGGAACACTATGTAGTACTTGTGTGCAACACAAACTAGTAAGCAGCAACGAATGTTTCTGGAGGTGGCTGTGGTCTCAACTTAGATTTTTTGGCAGAGAAATCCTTGTTAAATTGAATTAGAAGTTATAAAATGAGTATCAGAAGCTTGGTATTGAAACTCTCAAAATGTTTTCAGAAATGATTGTTTTATGAGATTGAAAATATTCTCACAAGATATCTTCTCAACAATTAGAGTTATTTGTTTTCATAGGAAGACAGGAAATGGATAGACCCATGGCTGAACACTTTGCATATTCTCTCCTATTTAAGCTCTACCACAATTTTACATTATAGCTATTAGTTTTTCTTAAACACTTGATTTCACATATCTAGAAAATATTAGAAATACTGAATACATAATGTCTTATCCACTTTCCTTCTTTCATGGACAAAATACCCAACATCCACAACTTAAAGGAGAAGAGATTTATTTTGGCTCACAGTTTTAGGGGTTCAGTCCATGGTTGGCAGGCTCAGACACAGAAATGGCATGGTGGAAATGCCTGACAGAGAAAAGCTGCTCACAGAAGAGATAGAAGAAGACATAGATGTGAAGTTCTGAGAACAATAATACACTCTTCCAGGTCCTTCCTCAGTGGCCCACCTCCTAAGAGCAAGTCAGTCATGGTAATGCTATGATCCAGTCAGCTCCAAAGGCCACCTCTGAGCTTTTGAGGCTTTGGGGTAATATTCCAGATCTAAGTCAAAGCACATAATTACAGACAGACTACCATAGCACAAAATGTCTCTCACCAATATGCTTAAACAGTGGATTAGCTCTTGACAACATATGTCTAGAGAGAAGTAGACAAGGTTACTGTGTTCCATGATACAAAATTTCAGAACGAAAACAAAAAAATATATAAGTAGAGATCAAAGGCAGAGAATATGAAGGCACAATGTGTGCAGAGGTTCATTTATCCTCCCTTGTATTCAGGAAGTATTGTGTTCCACTCTACTGTCATAACCTTTGCTCAGAATATATTCTGTGTTTAATTTGTGTAAGTCATTTGTTCTTCATTTTAAAGAGCCATATCATCAAAGAAAAAGCTGTGAAACCTTGGAAAAACCAATCAAAGTGTTTCCCTCCTCTACAGAGCTAGAGAAATGCCCAGAAATGGATTCACAGGGTGACACATGGAGCTGGGTCAGTCATTCTCAGTGTAGGAAAACTCTGATATATTTTTGAAATATCTAATTGCTCCTTCTGGCTATAATGTAAGAAGATGCCAAAGCTTGAAAAGAGAATTGCTTCAGGGAAATTAATATTTAATTTTAAGGTTTAAATTATCTCTGCCTTAATAGAGTTGTCTGATTCATAATTCAAATATTGAACTCAGCCAGCTTTGAATTTGTAATTGGATGTAGCCTAGTATAATTTCTCATTGCTACATTCTAAGAGATTTAAATGTTAACATTTGTTTGTTTATGGTATTTTTATCCTTGTTTTTACATTTTCATTTCTTTTTTTGAGGCACTCATATTATAAATTAAAAATCATGTAATAGCCTTTAAATTTTGCCTTATTTTTTAGTTTTGATATCTGGAAGTAATTGCTTAGCTTCTCTGCTCAAGAGCAACATGATACAGTGGAGATAAAACATGTCAAGATATACAAGAGTCTCCCTGGTGTGGCCTCTGCTCACCTCTCTGCCTCACCTGCTCTTTGCTGAACTGATGTGTTCCAGACGTACCTGGCTTGTCTTCTTCCTTACACAGGCAGTTTATTCCTGCTTTATGTCCTCAGGTCCCCTTTGCTTTGACAGAATCAGTTTCCTAAGATTTTTAAATGACTTGGTCTTTCTTATCACTCTCACCTGTAGTTCAAAAATCAACTTCTCTTGAATTTCTTTCTTAATGATCATTCTAAAAATGAGTACCACTTATTTCACTTTTAAAATTATGGGGAATCTCTGTTACATCCCTCTGCTTTATTTTTTGTAATGCCATTTAAACATTGTTTTTATTACCTGTGCATGTATCTATGGGTGCATAAGGGAAGATATAGAATCTTTTACCCCTCCATATTAAAATCTAAGCTATTTGATAGCGCTGTCTTTTTCTTCCATATTCAATTGTATTTCTTGACACCTGGAATGATATCTAACATGGATTAGATTCTCAAGAAATCAATGCAGGAAAGCAATAAAGGATGGAAGAAGGAAAGAAGAAAGGAACAAAGTCAAGAAGGAAAGAAGGAAGGAAGGGAGGAAGGAAGAGAGAAGGAAGGGAGGGAGGAAGGAAGGAAGGAAGGAAACAGAATGAGAGATTTCTAATCTTGCTTATTGTCTTTGAGTAAGAAAATGATTTCTTACTTTCTAATAATTAAGTAGCACTATATTTCAATTTCCTGCCATAACCAAGCATTTAGATCAAGCTTTTAGGATGAAAGTATGAGAATATTTTATAAGTAGACATCTGCTTTAGAAAATTAGGCACAGTCTACAGCCATACCACCCTGAATGCTCCTGATCTCATCTGATCTCAGAAGCTAAGCAGGGTTGGGCCTGGTTAGTGCTTGGATGGGAGAAAATCAGGCACATGAAGGCTAGATTTACCATCATAATGCATTAGCTGGTGAAACTCGGCTTTCAGAACAATCTTTGTGTTGTCTGTGAGAGTCAGCAAAGATGCCCTTTAAGTGGCAGCTTTCCCTCTCTACATGTTTGTTTATGGATTATTCTCTAGAAAGCATGCAAGAAAACTTGAAGGACTTTAGAATTACAGTAAATGGTATTTTGTACTGAAATGGACCTAAATAATGGTGCAATATTGCTGAAATACTTGATAAATTCCAGAGGAAGCAAATGCTCTTGAATATTGAAAGTAGCATATGAGGCCATTTTAGTCACTGGGCAATAAGAGACCTGCAAAAAATAAACTGAATGTCAGCAATACCAGGTTATGTTTTTAATGAGTAAAAATGTCCAGGAGGTTATCTTCTTTTGTGGCTTCAGTCAAGGGACTCAATCCATTACCCATGGCATTTTGCTCTCTCTGAATACCTTCTTCAATTTGCTGGCTGCATTTCCAAACCTGCCCTCCTCCTCCATGTGGGATTAAAGCTGGAAGAAAAGGAAAAAAAGAAATGAAATGTTTTGATTTACTCATCTGACTATCTCTGGATTAGGGGTAGGGGCAGCCTAATCCAGAGCACACAATGTGACAACAGAGCAGCTATGAAATCCCAGAGGGAAATCACTTTCCATGAAAGGTAGGAAATGGATAGAATGTGGTTTAAGAATATATTTATTTCCACTGTACTAATCCATGTTCTTGAGATCCTGTATTATGGCTACCGTGTAGAGTTTTCTAGTTTCCATTTCAGCAAAGTTATCTTATTCTGTTTTGTTCTGTGGGTTTGGCGTTTTGCACATTCAGATTTCTGCCAGGGTGACATTCATTTTCCAGAGCAGGGAAATGGTGCCCTTGGGACCCAACTAGATAGACAAGTAGAGGTAGGTGCACCTCTGCTTTTACATCCCTCCCTTTCCATTTTGATGTAGAGGCTTTGGTTACTATCTCAGGGAACTCATTCTGCTTTGCCTCATTTTCTCATCTCTTTAAGGCCAGTTAGAAGGACTCACTCTGAAAGGGGAGACATTCCAGACATACCTCAGCCAATTTCACACTAGGGACGCTATAACCTGAACCCAGAGATTTCCACCGGCATGGGACACAATAAGGCTTCGAAAAGGATGTGAGACACACAACTTTGGTTTACTTCCACTCATTTCTGTCTTTCTCCATCATTCATGAACAACATGGTACTAGCATTGATCCATATTGTCCTTCTATACATGGAACGTCCAGTTCTCCTTTGTCCTTCTTTCAAATTCTAGCTATATTTTAAATTCTATTTAACATCTTCTCAACAACCACACTCCAGCTTTCAGATTTATCTGGTTCACCATTAGGTCTTCACCACTGAATTCTAAGGATAGTTATCATCCGAGTTACTCACTTTTATACTTCATATAATATCTCACATACTTCATCTTTGTTATATGCAAAAGGTTTGAGTGAAGGGACCACTCTTAAAGTGTTGGCTCTGTATCATGAAATCCTCCAGGATGTCTCCAACATGATAGGATCAGACACTACAATGATTCCAAGAGTTTTCTTAAATTTCAAACAGTTCTCAAGCTCTTATACAAGTCCAGCTGCTCACTTATTGGTTACATTGCTCGGGAATTCTCACTTGAGATCATCAGTATCATCAGGGGCAAATGTTGTGAAAGGTAGTTTGCTGATCTCTTCCTTCTATGGAATATGAAATGTGTTTTGGTACAAATTTGAATTGCTTCTTTGATTTTTCTTTCTCTGTCATTGTTTTTGTTATTTTTCTCATGTTTATGGCATTTTGATAATGATAACAGGTACTTCTAAGGCAGGTGAGCCAAGGACTAATCTGAGAAACATTGCCCCACACACTTCAAATGCTTTTCTCTACCAGGCTCCTGAGACTTTAGGAAATACTGTCTCAATACCTTCTCTGCTCCGAGCATGAATTATATATGCAACATTTGAGCATACAACTGACAAAGGAATACTTAAGACTCAAGATGAATGCCTGAAAGTGGAAAAAAAAAATCCAGAAAGAACACTGCAAATGTGAAGGCTGGCTGCCCCCAGCCAGCATTGACTTCAGCTGCCTGCTTTGGAAATCCAGAAAATTTCTGCACATTATTGATTCAACAAAGGTAAAACCACCCACTTAGGTGGCCAATGAATTGTACAAGGCTCTTAGCTGCTTTTGAAAGGGAGATCAGCTGCTATAGGCATTGCTTTGCCCAGAGAAGCATGAAATTTGATTATCCTCTTTTTATAAAATTCTTTAACAGTCATGCCTAATTGGACATGAAACCATCTAGTCCTGTTCAGGATCCAACTGAATGTCTGACTCAGTGAGGCGCTGCCCACACAGTGCAACCTTCAGGTTCCTGTTATAAAACCAGTGGGGGTGGATTGGGTTAGCAGGGACTGTTGAAAATGTTCAGTTGCTCATTAAGTGCTGGGATATGAGACCTTTCAGAGTCTTCCCACCCCACGAAACTTTTCCATCAAAGCAACCTAGACTAGGAACAAGGTGTCATGTTGGAGAAAGCGTGTGCGAAAGAGCAGTAGCAGAGGAGGGAGGTCTCCAAGGCCAGGAGTCACAGCCTTTGGTGCTTGTTCCCTGCCTGAAAGGAATCTCAGTAATGAACATTTACCAGGTACTTTTCTCAAAGTTTTCATTCAGTTCCATTATATAAAAACTGTGGTCATATTCATTTTTAAAAAAAGAAACCGTGTCTCAGTAATTCGGGAAACTTTCTCAACACGCCATAGCTATCAAGTGTGGTACTGGGATTCAAAGCAGGGTGTTTAGCTCTAAAGTCACCTCTTCGCTGCTGAGCTCTGGAGCCACTATCAAAGCATGTAACCTTTGCATATAATTTAATTGCATATGTGTGTTTGTGTTTATGTACATGTTCTTGCCTGTTTATTTTTCAGCTCTGAAATTCCCTCTGTATTGTCCTCTGGTGGATATTGAATTGCTTATAAAGTGTGCATTTGATACCACAACCTGGTTGTCAGGTGCATACAACTTCCTGTGGAGGTGGCACAGGATGTCTGGAGAGTTTCCTGGCTAAAAGGAGCAGGTACCACCGACATGGTGACAGCAGCCAAAGGTGACAGCTAGTTGTCATGCATAGAACACAGTGCTAAAATTTGCAGGGCATCTCGACTATTTCCCAATAATTTCATGGAAAACCTTCTCATTTTAAAATATTTTGTGAGGAAAAAGAAAGAACAAATTGGCCAAGAGGAAATCTGCAGGCTGTTGGCTTCATATGGCTGAACATTAGAAGTTCACGCTTATTTTTACAAAGCACCCTTGTATTAGGAGGGAAGAGAATTTTATTATTTATTCACTTACAATGTATCACATCATCTACTATGAACATATTTATCCTATGTATAAAATAAGTCTAAAAGTTTTCTCTTAATGCCTTTACTTGTTCTCCAATCTACAAATTTATATTTGCATAATAAAAGCCATGGCCATGACCTGGACTAGCTTACAAGTGATTAAAAAGTTAGGAGATTCATAAATTTAAAAAGATGTGAGGAAAATTTATAGCAGTGCATAAACTTTAGAATCATGTCCTTAGTTCTCAGGGGAAGGGAAGATTAGAAAAAAGAAATATAAAAACTCAAATGATGGGCCAGATCTCAGAGATAAGGAAGTGTGAGCAACTTGCTTTTCAGCAGTGGGAATGTGTTTTACCAGCACTAAGTCAGCAGGGGTTGGTGCTTTAGAGTGGGATGAATTCTCTTACAGAAAGACTCCAGAGAAATAGTAAGGCTTTCAAGTTGGGAGAGGTAAATTTTATTCCTCATGCTCCCAAGGACCACCACTGAATGAAACGTCAAATGGAAGCATGCTTGGATAGGATGACGGTGTAATAAACAGGAAGGAGTCTTCAGAAGGGTTTTTCTATGACAAACTCTTAGACTACTGAGGTTATCTTCATCCGTGACTTTTTATTTTCTTGTGTTGACTCACGTTTGCTTTAATATCAGCCCTAAATACTACTGTTAGTGTTTCTCGTGGGGCAGGTCTATTAGCAATGAATTGTCTCATATTTTGCTATCTGAAAATGTACTAATTTTACTTTAATCTCTATACAATTTTACTGGATTTAGAATTCTTGGTGGAAGAAGATCTTTTTCTTTCATCACTTTGAATATGTCATGCAAATGCTTCTGGCTTCCATGGATTGCAATGATGTCCATTGTTATTGGTTAGAATTTTGACTTTGTTCTATTTGTAGTTAATTAAACGTTTCAGTTGTACATAATATTTTTAATAAAAATTGAGAAGATTTTATCCATCAGGAGCTTAAATATTATTTTTGTCTTTTTCTCTCCTCTCCTCCTGGGTTCCCTTATGTGAATATTGGTACACTTGGTAATGCCCTACAAGACTATGAAGTTCTTTTAATTTTTTTCATTCTTTTTTCTTTTTTTGGACTAAGTAACTAATTTTTGTGGGGTTTTTTTCTGCCTGTTCAAATGTAGTTCTATGTCCTTCTTACATGATGTTCTTACATCGTTGTTGATTTTTCAGTTTCAAAATTTCTATTTGGTTCATTTTTTTAAACTTCTGTGTACTTAATGATAATCTCTATTTGGTAAGACAATTTTCCTACTTTACTTCTTTAAATATAGGTTTCTTTAGTTCTCTGAATTTACTTAAAGTAATTGATTCATCTAGTAACCCCACTGTCTCTATTTTCTTAGGTATAGATTCTGTTCAATATTTTTGTTTTTCTTTTATGGGTCATCTTTTCTATCTTTATTGAATGTTTCAATTTTCTCTTGAAAACTGAACATTATACTTAATACAGTGTAGCAGGTTGGAAATCAGACTCTGTCCTTGCAGGTTTCTTGTTGTTGTTACATGTTGTTTCATTTTTTTGTTGAATGACTATCCATCTAAGTGTGTAAAGTCTGTGTTCTTTGTTGTCTAGGCCACTGACCCCTGCGTCAGGTTATCATAGTGGCCAGCTAATCATTCAACAAGGATTTCACAAGTGTCTGAAACCAGCCAATCTCCCGAGTGTCATGCATTTCAATTTCACAGCAATTGGAGAATCAGGCTGTGTTCACATACTTAATTTATGTATTTCTCTAGATAGACAAACAGAAATACAATAAGCATCTTACATTTTACATCAAGGACATCAAATTTTGCTAAATGACAATGGCTCTGGATATATAGAGATTAGCCTAGCCTTCAAACTTTCTTTTTATTATCAACAAATCAACGCACACTACTATTGACTCAGCTCTTTACCCAAGCTTCTTTACAGAAGTTTGGTGATGTGATCAGAAAGGGTTAGTGATGCATGAATTATATTACACCATTGTACAATGCTGCATGAAAAGGCAACTATATAATGCACATGCCAGTAGATATATTTCAATAAATTAAGTATTAAACATCATATCCTTGGCCCAAAGGGCAATTTTACAGAAATGAAATTGGAACAGCTGTGTTACAGTTTTGCTTACT